ACCATTATAAAAGTTCAAAATGTAAACTTTTGCGAAAAATTGTACAGATAACATATATGGTCAATTTTTGTTCTTAAGAGTAAACTTTACTCGAGAACACGTTAATGTAACTTCAAGCAACAAAATAATAATCGATTGTACAAATACACAGATGAAGACCTCATTAAGCCTTCGTCACTTTCTTTTCTAGAAGTTCCATTCTTACTATCACTCTCCGAACATGTAAATAATTTTTTTACCTTAGCATCTTCATGGCTTTCAGTCACCGTAACAGTAGGCTCCCTTATGCGCTGTAAACATTTCACACCAACTTTCTTCTCCTTTGTTAGTGATGATATCTAGAGAAATAGTAAAACACATAAATTTGTAGGAGAGGCCAGAGACATAAATTTGTAGAATGTGATTGGATATAAATTCAATAAAAAAAAGAAAAGAAAAAGAAAATCAAAACTCATATTTAACACTGAACCCCATTATCCTCCATTTTATCCATATAATTAACTAATACTAATCAATCATCCTTACATATCACATCAATTTAATTTCACTACATCTACTTACATAATTTTAACTAACCATCACTTCACATCATCTCTCTCCTAATTTTACATCAAATCAACTTTAATTATTTTATTTTAAACAATATTTTATTATAAACTTAAACCCCCACTAACACGACTAACCGTACCACTTTTTTCAAAACTAATCATACCAAACCAAAAAATTCAAACAAAAAATATTTTATATCCAAGCATCCCCCAACAATCCTCACATTTCCCATCAGTCCTCCAAGAAAGTTTTTGTGTGTGTGTGTCTGTGTCTGTGTGATTAGTAATAGAAGCAAGATATATTAGAAATAAATTTTGACAAATAATTTTACAAGCTTTGATGAAAAACTCTTCTGAATTAAGGAAAAAAGCACTTCACTTTGTTTACTCACATTCTTAAACTGCCTGCCAACAGCATTATGGGGGTAAAAGAGTAAAAAACATTAATACCAAACCTGCTTTCGAAGGCGTTCCCTCTCGATAGACAACTGCATCACCAAATCTGTGATCAATTTCGTCCGGACCCTTATATCTTTCGCAGTCTTCTCCTTCGCCACATCAGCCTCATGCAGAGAACCCTCCAATTGTTCTACCTTACGCCTCAGAAAATTGATTTCCTCAACAAGCTCCGAATTTGACTCAGACAACACGATACACTTCTCCTCGGCACTCTCTGTCTGATTTTCCGCCTTCAAAACCTTCGCTTTCAAATCTCTTATTAAATCCTCCATGTCTTTGATTGTATTCTCCAACATACTTTGCTTCTCTAGACTAGCTTCAGCAGATGCCACTGCATGCAATCGATTGTGTTCGGATTCCTTCAAAAGCCTCTCTAATTGTTCCACCTTCTTGTTTGCATCAAATACACGATTTTTCAAGCAGGCCAAGTCTTTTTCGAGCTCATTGTTAGACTCCTTAAGAGATATACACTCGGCTTCAGTAAATTCGGCTCTTTTTACAGCTTCGGTAGCCTTCACCTCCAAATCTTCATATTTTTCTGAAGAATCCTTCAGTTTCTGCTCGAGTGAGTGAACTTTTTCCAAAAGCTCGGCACGCAAACTCTCGGAGCCCTCCAAAACGCAATCTTTTTCTCTCGACTGCTTGATAAGGTCTTCAAGTTTGGATTTTAATTCCCCTTCTCTCTGGTTCGACCCGTTTAAACTAAACAATAGCTCTTTTGAGATGCCAGAGAGGATTTCTGCACTACTTTCGGCCTCGAATAATTTCTCCCACATATCTTCAGCTTCTTCTTCCATGCAGTAAACTTCTTGTTGAAGCCGGAATTTTAACTCTTCTTCCGTTTGCCTCGACTCGGATAGTTTCTTCTCGAGGTCCATTTCCCTGGCCAAAGACTTCTCGAGCATCCTCAAGATTTCTCTCTGCTGTTCGGCAGTCTGCATTTTGATCTTCGCATTTATATCCGAACAGCTGTCGTTTTCCAAACCGGAAAGCTCCTTTTCATCTCTCCCTGTAGTCATCTCAAATCATTATTAATTTTTCGCTCCTTTGTTTTTAATAAATTGGTTAACTTAACAAAAAAAAAAATAAATAAATAAATCAAAACTCATATTTAACTCAACTTTAACCCAACTACGTTATCCTCAAGATTATCAATATAATTAAATAATATCAACCAATCATTTTTACACATCACATCAACTTTAATTCACTATATATCCACTTACATAATTTTAACTACCTATCACTTCCAATCATTTTTCTCATACTTTTACTTCAAATCAACTTTAATCAATTTATTTTAAATATTATTTAATATAAACTCAAAATCTCATTCAAACCTAACTCAACCACTTTTTCAAAATTAACTATGGTTAACACCAAAACCAATCAAAACCCAATCAAATCCATATCCAATCACACCCTTAATGCATTTTTAAGGTTGTAGCAATAATTTGAACATCAAAATAATGAAAATCTAGGAACTAAACAGGACCACAATATGGACAATGATGGCACAAAGATAAACAGTCAATAAGGTTACTGGGAGATTGAGTAAAATTGAAGTTAAATCGAGTTAAACGATTAACCGTTTTCTAGCTTCTCAAGTCTCAGAATATATCAGATATTGTAAAAAAAAAAAAAAAAAAAGAGTAGAACACGAGGAGCTTACACTTTTCATCTCCAGATGAAGTTAGCAAGATCCTCTCGAAGCTAGCAGATTGTGTCTTTATATCTGAGACCTGCTCGAACGACAGCTTCAATGAACCCACACAATCTTGCAGCCTTTCTTCCAAATCCCTAAAATCATATCCGAGTCCCTCGAAAGAAGATATAATCTCCCGAGAGCTATTCATCTCTCTCTGAAGATCAGATAGAAAACTCTCCTGTTCTCGCACTTCAGATTCCAAAAACCCATATAAAAGATCGAATTCTAATGCTCTCTCAGCAAGGCCATTCCCTTCGTCCGAACAAAAAGCCTCGAAATCATTTTCCCTTGAAGCCACATGCATAAGAAGTATGCCCAAATTGACCAATTTTTCAGTGGAGCAAGCCAAATCCAATTCGATCTTGGTTAAAAGTTCGTGTGCACTTTCCAGTTCGCGAGTAGTGTCTGCTGCAGATGATACGGCTTCAATGGAGTCAATGTTGTTTGATTCACCTTTGATTTCGATAGAACTGACATTTTCGGTTGAAGCTGGTGAGTCTTGTGTATCGTCAGAATCCATTTTCAAGGCTTCTGGTAAAGCTCGGTTGAGATCCTGAAAAAAAAGTGATAAAATAAAATAAAAAACTAGTATGTGCTTGAATCGACTGATTTCAGATGAAGCTTCCTTTTTTCTCCTGCCATGGAAGAATCAGAAAAGGTAGAAAATGATTGATGGATCAAAATTATTATGCAGAGTAAAGGGTTTAAGTTCTGACTTGAGCATGGTAATGTCACCACTTTGTCAAATTATGCTGCCAAAGAATTTTTTTCCTCTTAGTAAAGAGAGTAATTTACTGGCACTTGGAGAAAATAAACTAGTGATACCATCAAAAAATTGATTCACCAGAGTGGAAATTAAGCAAGAAAAATATACACGGCTGAAGGAGACTTAAATGCCAACTTATACACCACTTCTCAACTCAGTAAAGAGGAAAAGAAGAGTGAAAGCAACATAGATAACACTATTCTTTTGGTGCAACAAAACGAATTCATGAGAGGAAGTTATAATCATTAAGTAGCCTCTAAAACCACGCAACACCAAGAATTTCATTTCACCAAAAGTTGATGAACTGACTATCAACATCAACACCAAGGAAATTAAAAGGATTTCATTTAACTAACTCACTATCAACAAAAGTGGATGAACTCGCGGCATTTAATGCATCTTCACAAGTATTCCCACAATACTTCTAGTGGTCTATCAAAAAATCTCACCTTTATTCAACTGTATCATTTAGATTTATAGTTTAAACTCCTATTTTGACTACCCATCATTTTTTTTTTTTTTAAAAAATATATATATACCAAAAGAAAAGCTGATTTCCTGTATTTCTTACACAAATTCCATTGCCAGTTTCAACTTTCATCACAACATAATATTATTAAAAAAAATGAATAAACTTAAATTCCGGTGATTGCCGTTCGGACCCATCAGCTATGCACCTATATGAATCAAGATCACATCCAATTAAATGAAAAAACAAAACAGCCAAAAGAAAGAAACGCAGATGCTCCCAATCATCTTATCTGAATACTGATGCGATCCGAAAACAATAAAGATAGAATTAATACAAGAAAAAAAAAACCCATAAAACATAATTTAAGCACGAACCCTATCGAATGCCACGGGTTCAAAGCTCGAATTTTACTTCATTTATTCTTCTGCAAAATTGATGTAACCGACCTCGTTCCCCGAGTGTCAATCGTTATTTTGATTAGCCAGGTGAGAAAGTCCCGCATAGGGGCGTGGTATGCACGTGATATCACGTGACTTCTTTTTTTGTTTTTTTTTTTATTTTGTTTTTTTTTTTAGTATGCAGAGTATTGATCTTATGGATGCTCGATTTTTTCTCCGACGTTGCTTTTGCTCGAAATCAACTTTTTNGTTTAGAATACCAAAATTAATTAAGTTGAAAATTGAGATATGCCTAAAGGAAAAGTATGTAAATTGTGGTTATTAAAATTGATACTTTCTAAAATTCCCCAGCTTGAGAAACTTTTTATATTTAAATAATTCACGAGCTCATTAATTCTAGAATTTTAGGATTACGCCATTAAAGAAATCCACAACATCTATACTTATATTAAAGAGAGTCCTATTTACCAAATTTAGTAGCTAAAAAAGTCAACAACATTTATTGTCATTACTATTTCAATATTATATAATTTTATTTAATATTTATTTTTCAGTTACGATTTTTAAAAACAGATATGGTTAAATTCTCTCATCATTAATTACTTTCCATTAATTACAATTTATTTATTTATTATTTTCTTAGCAAAAACGGACCAACATTGATTGATTTCCATAAAATGTGAAAGTTGTTGCTTTATTTTTGTACAGAAAATTGGGCTTCATTATAGAAATTTGTTCAATTACACAATGAATTTGCTATGATACAATTATTTTTTATGGGAACTTTTTTTTTTTTTAACAGAAAAATATGGCATTTCAATAAGATTTTCGATTTTTTAAGACTGATTGTTATGCTATGAAATTGAACATTCCAATATACCTTAACAAAATATATACACGTGGTGTATACATCAGTTAATAGAAATATAGAATCCTCATATTTTTATATATATGTATGTAATTTTTCTATTACCAAATTTAATTGATAGTTGTTGTTGTTGTTGTTAATATCCGAGTTCGGCCCCTGTAAGGATACCGGTCTGAGAAGACCGGAAGTCGGGGGGTGGCCGGTCGGACCGAGGGGGCCGGTCACCAGGATTGTCTGTACGTGCCGAGCCGAGCAGAAGTCAAAGTCAATAGAAATGGCGGTCAGAGTTGGGCTCGGGGTCGGCACTTCGTTTCTCCATTCGCGAGGCCGGCACCATGACTTAATGCCGAGATCTATAAAGGACCCCGGTCGCCGGAGGACGGCCAGGGGCTGACATAGACCAGCTCGGCACCCTGCCAGTCTGGCCCTCATAGATATTAGGGACCCAGGGAATGGTTAAATAAGGCCACTTGTCAGCGAATGATTGCCGATGGGACGTCACAGACTAGTCTGCAGGACTAGGAAGTCTAGCTCGGCCGAGGAGCATGTCCGCATTAAAGACTAGACCCAAGACATTGAAGACTAGACCCAATGCATTAAAAACTTGGGTTTAGAATACCAAAATTAATTAAGTTGAAAATTGAGATATGCCTAAAGGAAAAGTATGTAAATTGTGGTTATTAAAATTGATACTTTCTAAAATTCCCCAGCTTCAGAAACTTTTTATATTTAAATAATTCACGAGCTCATTAATTCTAGAATTTTAATATTACGCCATTAAAGGAATCCACAACATTTATACTTATATTAAAGGGAGTCATATTTACTTTAGTAGCTAAAAAAGTCAACAGCATTTATTGTCATTACCATTTCCGTATTATATAATTTTATTTAATATTTATTTTTCTGTTACGATTTTTAAAAACATATATGGTCAAATTCTCTCATCATTAATTACTTTCCATTAATTACAATTTATTTATTTATTATTTTCTTAGCAAAAACGGACCAACATTAATTGATTTCCATAAAATGTGAAAGTTGTTGCTTTATTTTTGTACAGAAAATCGGGCTTCATTATAGAAATTTATTCAATTACACAATGAATTTGCTATGATATAATTATTTTTTATGGGAAATTTTTTTTTAACAGAAAAATATGGCATTTCAATAAGATTTTCGATTTTTTAAGACTGATCGTTATCATGCAATGAAATTGAACATTCCAATATACCTTAACAAAATATACACGTGGTGTATACATCAGTTAATAGAAATATAGAATCCTCATATTTTTATATATAAGTATGTAATTTTTCTATTACCAAATTTAATTGATAGTTGTTGTGTTATGGGTTTTTCATAATTGTTACTTGGTTGTTGTGATTTTTAGTTTGGTTGGTGTCGCAAAAATTCTAATCTATATATATAATAAGAATAATCATTACAATGCAAATTAGAAAAATATTGATATTAAAAGAGATTGAATTCATGACTTTTCTTAAATCAAAGTTGTTTAATTAGTATACAAAATTAAATTCTAAAAAACTATATGTGTATATTTTGTACATTATTTATACACTATTTAATTTTAAATTTATTTACATATTTTAAATTAATTACTTATATAAATAATACCAACGTGCATTAAATATATTTCATTACATAAAATAAAAAGAACAAGAAGATGTGTAACTTGTATAACTTTATAAATAATAATGACATTATATGGCAACAGAGTTTAATAATTAACTATTATATAGTGAATAAGAATAAGTAAAATTGTTATTTTCTCTTATATCAAGGAATAAATATATATAATAAAATTAAATTTATATTAGTATAAATGTGTTAGTGAGATAATATATTAATTATTTTACAAGTTAGCCCTAACATGCTCACGTTTAATGTTCTGACTAATAAAACAACGCTGATTAAAAGATGTGAAAAATAGATTACAACCCTATTTTTTTAGACTTAACGGTGATTAAAAGAAGTGGAATATAGATGATAACTTTTTTCAAACTTAAACGAGATTTAACGGTGATTAAAATAGGTGAAAAATGGATAATAACTCTTCTCAGACTTAATCGAACAGAAAGCCTGTGAAAATAATTCATTTAATATCTCTCTGCCGTGCATCGCAGGGGAAGTACTAGTAGCCTCAAAACGCCAACAAATAATATGAAGAAAAGCATTTATTATGGAGTGGATTAATTAATGATGAATGTTAAGTTAAAAAAAGAAAAGATATTCAATGATAAGTAACACCATTAAGTTGGATAGTCCATACTATTGTGTCGTGTGTGAGTTAATAAGCATTTAGTATTTTAGTTGATGATAGCAATAATACTCGCAAGGTAAATTTAAGTCAACTCACAGTAAAGAATAAATATTATTTAGCAACACATTAACAATATTTGGTTAATAAGTAAAACCGAACTTATAAGCTTTGACACTCCATTACAAGCGTAAACGAGTCTGATCTGAGTTGATTTTGCATTAGTGTTGTTAAATTAAACGAGTCTGGCTCATTAAGGCTCGAGTTCGACTCAACTCGTTTGATAAATGAGCCGAGTTTTAGCTCATTTAAAGTGAGCTCAAGCTCGGTTCGATAAGGCTCGTTAAAGCTCGAAAAAAATATTTATTACCTAATTTTCTACAGTTCTACTCGTTAAAACTTGAGATCAGCTCGAACTCGACTCATTGTGAGTGGTAGACGAGCCAACTCGAGCTCAAGCTCGATTTCAGGTTTGTTTATTTAACGATTCGAATTTAACTCGACTCGTTAAGGGCTCAAGCTCGAGCTCAAGCACCTTAAACTCGAACTCGACTCGGCTCGTTTACAGGCCTACTTGGCATATATGTTGAACATGAAAATGGGATAGAAGAATGGGTATTTTTTTTTTACCTTCTGTTATAGATAAGCCTTTGCCCTATAAGTTAATAAGTAAAACCGAAATTATAAGTTATGACACTCCATTAAAGGCGTAAAACGAGTCGATCCGAAATCTAACTTTTGATACTCGAGTTTGATCTTTTATCTCACATGGCCATGCTCGATTCATTAGTTAAACATGAGCAGATAAATTAGTTCGAACTTTGCTCATTTATCAATATTAATAAATCGAACTCAAGCCTTAACAAGTCAAACTATAAAATTCAATATAAATTTCTATATGCAAACCTCAATAAACCGCACATTTACTAATTAAACGAGTTCAAACTCGATTTATTATAACTAAGTCTAGTCGAGTCAAACTCACAAACAACTCATTTTTATTTAACTTCACACTTCGTAGTCCATACTGAAAGGTATACCATAGTGGGCCGCTGAATGACATTAAAATGACTCATATTATTTAAATTTAGTGGATTCAATACAATGGCCACCCAAATAATAAACAAAACATGCAGTGATACTAGTANTCATAAAGGTACTCGTCTAAAAATTTCATTCCATTTTTTTAATAAATCATTGCTACATCTATATCTATATATATAAAAAGAATTAACATTTATAAAAAATAGCAGCAAAAAGTCAATGAGCATTTAATGCATACTTTATTTGGAAATTTTTTAAATATATGCATTAATTGCTTTAATATACACATTTCCAAATCAAATATGACCAAAAAGATTCTTTCCTTGAATAATTTTATTAACATATGCAATAATTTTATTGATATCCATTATAATAAACTATAATTTGATTTTTCGTGATTGATGTTGATAATATTTTGGTCAACATAAACATGAAAACAACTTTTAAGTCTTAACCATATTATTATTTTTTTTTCACAAATGTTGACTTTCATCCTAAAATATTTATAAACAATGGTAACATATTAAATAATTCTCCCTCTAACTATTTAACCGAAATCAAGTTGATTAATTAATATTTTTCGATAATATTTTTTAACCTTTATTTAATTATATAAACAAATAATTTTTTAAATTAAAATAATTTACCATTTAAGATAATGATCACATCATTAAATAATTTATTAATGGTTAAATAATAAAATTAAAATATATTAACTATTCTTTACATTTTCAACATTTGATTTATTTGTATATTATTGTCAACCATGATAATTTTATCATTTTTTTTATTTTTATTTGTTTCCATAATGAATTTATTGTAAAATATATATTTATATTGCATAGTATGTTAAATAAACTAATAAAGTCTTAGGATGCAAATTAGAAAAATCTCTTGATTATGTAAGGTTTATTATTTGACAATTTGCTAAATCGATTTTTTTTTTAATTA